GCAGGAGGCAGCTGATCGATGTTTCTCTCTCATCGATGTTTCTAACTCTCTATCTCTCTCCCTTCCTCTCTGTAAAAAATCAATAAAATATATTAAAAAAAAAAGATTAATAAAATTTACCAATCTACAGCAAGATTTACCCAGATTTAAAGAAACAGAAATTGCCAATTTCAAGAATGAAAGAGGGAAGATTACTACAGAAGCTATAGATATTAAAAGGTTAGTAACGGAATATGTTAAAAAAAAAAAAAAACACCAAAAAAAACCTTGTGCCAAAAAAGTTGACAAGCAGGATGAAAAGAACAAATTTCTTGAAAAACAGTACTTATCAAAACACAAAAGTAGAAATAGAAAATCCAAATAGCCATTAAAGGAGTCGTATTCTTAATAAAAATCCTTCACGCACATGAAAAAGAACCTCCAAGTTCAGATGCTGCACCGGTGAATTCTACCAGTCACTTAAGGAAGAAATACAAACTCTTAAAAAATAGGGGGTGTAGAAACACTCTTAGCTTGGCATATGACTCTAGCATCATGCTGATACCACACCTGCCAAGCATATTTAGACTTAAAGTTCAATATCTCTCATAAATACAGATACAAAAAGAATAACATTTTATGACCAAGGGGTTTAGTTTAATTTGGTTTAAACATTCAAAGTCATGCAATGTAATTCACATTTTCAGAATAAAGGAGAAAAATCACGTGGGACTCTCAACAAATAAAAGAAAGTTTGATAAAATTCAACATTTGGTTAAAAAGCCCCAAGAAACTAGGAATTATAAGGGAACTTAGGCTGATAAATAGTATGCATGAAAAAACCCAGAGCTAACATCACCATTTTTAATGACGAATCATTGAACATGTTTTCCTAACATATGGAAAAAGGCACAGATGTCTGCTCTCATAATTTCTACTCAACACTGTTCTGGAAGTCCTCGCCAGTATAATAGGCCAGAAAAATAAATAAAAGGTGGAAAGTTGGAAAGTTGGAATAAAAGTAAAACTTTTTATTTGCAGATGATAAAAGAATGTAAGTAGAGCCCTAGCAGGTTTGGCTCAGTGGATAGAGCATTGGCCTGAGGACTAAAGGGTCCCAGGTTCAATTCTGGTCAAGGGCACATGCCCGGGTTATGGGCTTGATTCCTAGTGGAGGCATGCAGGAGGCAGCCAGTCAGTGATTCTCTCTCATCATTGATGTTTCTATCTCTCTCTCCCTCTCCCTTCCTCTCTGAAATCAATTAAAAATATATATATTTTAAAAGTTTGTACGCAGAAACTCTATGGACCCAGTTGATCTCAGGCTTTCGGTAGGGGGCGGAAGGGTGGGGAGTGAGGGGCGGGGAGGAGGTTGGGGCCTGGGCACTGTCGGCTGCTCTGCAGGCTCCAGCCTGACCACGCACAAGGAGCCCAGCCCAGTTACTGCTCTCCTGACCCGGACTCTCTCATTCAGGAGCTCCGGCCTGAGGCAATGGTGTGCGTTCCTGTACATCCTCATTCCAGTTCTGCTGTGGGTCTACAAAAAGTTTCTGGCACCATGCACGTACCCTGTGGTCTCCCCATTTGTCAGTCGTAGGTGGCGTAGTGGCCTAGAAAAGCTACCCACCAATCCAATGATAAAAGCAAAGGCAAAGTAGACTCTAAAGATGCAGACACAACTGGGTACCAAAAAAGGACCAACGGAAATCTCTGAGAAAAAGACTAAAGTGACTGTCCCAGAGGACCTCAGGTTTTCGAAATGGATCCGAGAGTCTCTGACCTTTTGCCCTTAGACCAGATATTGGATAGTTTAGATATTTACCTGATACTAATCAGGAAATACATGGTATTTGTATCTACAATGTATTAGTTATAATTAATGATCTCATTCCCAAGTTCCTTTTCCATTAAGTTAGCTTTCATTTCTATTATTGTAGTTTTAGTAATTGAACAAATAGACATTGGTGCCAGTCAACACTTGCTAAGTCAGCACCCAAACATCTTCGGGGCCTCTAGCTTTTGAGTAGCTGCTTCAAATCTGAGTAGAGCGTATTTTTACTGTGAACAATGCAGTGAGACTGTGTGGTGAAATGAGTTTGGGGAGATGATAATGACTTTAAACATAAAGTTATAATCACTGCCCACCACAATGGAGCAGCTCATCTACAAGAGTAGTAATTACTGCTTACTGCTCTGGAGAAGATAGCAAAGACAGGAGCTAGAGGAAATTTCTTTGAAAAATGGAATACCTCTTAACGTACATAAATGTCTAATGTATATTGTAAAATTATAAAAAACAAAGAAAACAGCCCCTATGGACTCTACAAAAACACTCATAAATTAATTAATGAAGTCAGCAAGATTACAGAACACAAGGCCAATATACAAAAATCAATTGCATTTCTATATAGTAGCTAATGAAGTAAAAATTAATAAAATAAAATTAAAACATTTCAAAATAAATTTAACAATAGCATTCAAAATGTGACTCAAAGGAAAATTTTAGCAAAATAAAATATGAGAACTACAGAATATTGCTGAGAGAAATGAAGTCTTAAATAAGTGAAAAAATAAGCCATGCTCACGCACTGAAGAGTCAATATACCCATTCTCCTAAATTGATCTGTAAAGTCAAAAAAATTACAACCAAAGTTATAAAGAACTGTACCACCAATGAGTCACCTTGCTTATTTCCATTTGACAATTCATGTTTGCTAACAATAAGACAGTGTAGCAATGATATGTAAAGAAATGAAGATAAAGTGTAGAACACCCTTAATAACTCAAAGTTAGCAAACAGTTCAAAGCATATGGGAGGGTTAAAGAACAGACTTCAGAGTTAGCTTTAGAAGGAAATGAGTGAGCACGCTGGTAACTAGATGGCAGCCAAAGGTAAGTACAAGGACCGGAAAATGACCATCACTCCAGAGGAAGAGGGTGGAGGTGGCACATTCCTAGGGACATGTGAAGACCACATTTTCTTATATTTTCCCCTGAGATTCAGGACTATTGCCTCAATCCTCCTCTTTTTTGAGTTCAGGAATATGGAAGTCACCATTGATATGTGATACCAACGCTTATCCATCCTATTTCAAAAATGCATCTTAAAATCATCTACCTCCCTCCATTGCCTAGTCCACACCACCACCATCTCTTACCTGGATTTAAATTGTCTCCTTTCTGCATCTCTCATTCTCCTCTAACCCCCTCTCATCCATTCCCACACAACAGCCAGAGAGATTTTTACAAATGCAAATTGGGTCACAGCACTGTCTTGGTTATTCCTCTATGCATTCCTGTTATATCTGAAGTCAACAATCTAACTTGGTCTTGAGGACCCAAGTGATCTGGCACTTGTGTGCCTTCCTGACATAAGCTCTATGAGGCAGGGCCCTCCTCCATCTCATTTACCATTCTATCCCAGAAGCTAGCACTGCAGCACATCATAGGTGGTCAGTACAGGTTTGTAATTCATTAAGAAACATTTTCAAATCTGCAGCAAAAGCTAATTTCCAAAGCTATCTAGTAGTCGGGAAAAAAAAAAGGAAGAAAGGAAGGAAGGGAGGGAGGGAGGGAGGGAGGGAGGGAGGAAGGAAGGAAGGAAGGAAGGAGCTAATTTCTTTAATCATGTGTAAAAGTGTCAGTGCTTGTTTTTTGAGAGGCCTGTCTTGCCAGGAAATTAGAGCTCTTTCTAGACCAAATCTTGAGATATGTGAATTAAAAAATATATATATGCTTTCCCGTTGTGAAAGAAAAGGAAAGACAGAGGATGTGGTGCAACACACACAGTGTGCATTATATGAGCAAAGGGGGGAATACAGGGCAAAATGGGCTGGGGAAGGAAGAGAGAGATTTCATGTAAAAATTAAATCCTTGGGGAAAGACAGAAAGAATGCACCAAACACACACACAAACAAAAAACAACCACAAGAGTAGGAAAACCAGTAAGCAAACTGAGCAAGTAGCAGACAGGGCCAGCAGGATCCTAGGAAAAATGCTAAAGTCGTATTTTTTTTAAAATATATTTTATTGATTTTTTACAGAGAGGAAGGGAGAGGGATAGAGAGTTAGAAACATTGATGAGAGAGAAACATCGATCAGCTGCCTTCTGCACACCTCCCACTGGGGATGTGCCCGCAACCAAGGTACATGCCCTTGATCAGACTCGAACCTGGGACCTTTCAGTCCGCAGGCCGACGCTCTATTCACTGAGCCAAACCGGTTAGGGCTAAAGGGTATTTTTATGCAGTTTGCAAAGGAGTTGTTGGGGCCTCAGCAGTATGCGTAGCAGCAGACATGATGCTCTAGGACTGAAGATGGCTGGGCAGCAGAGTGGAGGCACATCAGGACAGGAGCACAAGGCAGTGAAACACAGAACTGTCACCCCTGCCTAGTGGACTATTGCCACATGTTTCTCATGGGGGAGAAGGAGCAATTTAAGCTAGACTTGTGGCATACGCTCACTTGTCGATAAGGCGGGGTCAGATTTTGGTCATGAGTTGTGAGTATGTAAAGCTCTCACTTTATGGATGGTGAAGTAACAAGTTCCTTTCAAATAATCCCTTTATGCTGCAAATCTCAGTTTAAAAATAGAGTCAGCTTTTTGGGGTATCAGCGTAGCCACCCTCAAGGCAGAATCCTGTGTGCTTGGGTGGCTAGCAACAGGATGGCACTAGGGGGACAGTTCTGACCCCAAGAGCTTCTGGTGAGGAGCTGGTTTCGCCTCTTGAAGTTGCCCTAAAACAGGGTCCTAAGGTACCTGGCCAGGACACAGCCCACACACCGGCCTGGAAAGCTCTAGTCCTCTTGGCTCCGTGTGCATCTCTTCAGCCCTCTGCCTGTGTTCTGGTGCGTGCGCACACCTCCCCCATCCCCACCTCATTCTTGCTCTCTCATTCTCCATTTGGATTTCTTTCTCCTTTGCTTTTAACTTGGACTCTAAGGATAATTCTTGGTTCTGAAAAACAAACTGTCACCCAAGTCCCCTCAGAAAGCCCAGAAGCAGAGCCCAGTTTCTCTACCTGTTCCCTTCGAGCTCACACACATAGGTCACTACCGGGGACCAGTCGAAGGCCCCTGGCTCCTTCTTCAGCCACTTCTCCAGCTCCTGCAGGTTCTGATCAGTGTAGTCAGTAGCAATGATCGTCTTGAAGGATTCACAAGCAGAGAGGAGCTGATAGATGGTGGGGCCAGAGCCAATGTCAATCAGGAGGTCTCCCTTCACGCCAGCTGGTTGAGAGGAAGGAATGAGGAAGGGGAATTAGGCTTTATATGGCGGCGGTAGAGCTGACTTGCGTTGCCTTTGCCGGCATTATGATGGAGAGCCCCACGGAGGGCCCCAAAGACAGACCCCCTATCATCTCACCACTTAGATCATCATGACTATTCTGTCAAGTCTTTTTTTTTTTTTAAACAGACTTTCATTTTCTGTTCCCTCATCTAGGGCGGAGGCATGCTGCTCAAAACTATTAAGGAATACTTTTGGGGGAAAGTGTTGTTTTTTTTTTAAATTTGAGTTTATATAATGTCTCCATCCAGTTCTTCATATGTTGGGAGGTCTTTATCTCATGCATATTCACAATAGTCCATTGAGTTAGGAACAGAATAAGTATTAGAACCTCCATTTCTTAAGTGATCAATCACAAGAGTTAAATGGCTGGTGCTAGTCACATAGCAAATCCATGTAGAATCAAGGACAGAACTCCCGTCTTCTGGTTTTCCTTTAGTGTGACCCAACAAGATAATGGATATAAAAGCACTTTGTAAACTGTAAAGTATCCACACCAACATTAGTTTTTATCTTAGCTACATAAGAAGGTGATGCCAAAAGGGCTGTTAAATAGCAATGACTAGACAAAAATTCCAGTCATGCCCTGAGACTTATCTATATGACTCACGTTTTGGGGTGGGGAGGGGAGATAGGAGACACAGACAACAGACAGACTTACCCACACAGAATATATTGAAAAGCTTTTTCAGAAGAAGCCTAAGAATCTGGTTTTCTGCAGACTGTGTGGACCCAAAGCTGTAATATTTTTCTAGGTAATCTTGAGGGTTAAAATGGCTCAGATAGGTGTCCTTGGAGGTGAAACCAGACTCCATTGTGTCTCTCTCCTACGCCACCTGTCCACTGCCCTACCTCCCTCTCCTCCAGAAGCCAGGGAGTCCCTGCAGAAATTGTCCTCCTGCGTCTCATGTTTTTAACATTTCCTCTGTCAGTTCAGCCCACCCCTTAGAGATAGGTGTTTGGTTAAACACTAACTGAGAGAAATATACCAAAAAAGTTTGGCTGTTCTAGGAAGTGATGAAATTCCTGGGGAAGGGATCCTCGCAAAGCGGGGAGTGGCAGGGGCAGAGCCATGAGCCGCATGCAATATTGGCCAAGGGGCAGAGTTCAGCTCGGAGGGATTATAGACAGGAGAGATCAACTGAGCTCATCGGGGAAACGATTTAACTCACAGAAGAACTACGAAATCCAGCGGGGTGGGTCATCTCCCCACAGGACATCATTCTTCCTTCTCACAGCGATTGTCCCAGGAAACAGAGTCACAAAGAATGGTTTAAATTTAAACATGTTAAAGGAAAGAGGAGAAGGGCGAGGATAGGAAATGTGTTCAGGGCTGAGGAATGTGGGCTAAAGAAGGAGTCTCAGATGAGGTCTGGAAAAAGGAAAGGTGAAGGAGCAATTTTAAAATCCTGAATGAGGGGGGATGTGATTTGGTGGTAGAATAGGTGGAAGCTACACTCACCTCCTCCCAGGACCAAACTGGAATTAGAACTAAATTATAAAATAATCATCCTGAACAACCAACTGAAGACTAGCTGGAGAGAAGTCTTGTAACCAAGGGTTACAGAAGAAGTTACATGGAGACTGCCACTCACCGGGGCTCCAGCAGAGGGGAGGTGAAGCAGACTAGAATCGCATGAGGAGAGACTGGAGTTTGAGGCTCTGGGAGGAGCTGAAGGGATAGCTGCCAGGATCCCCGTGCTGGGTCATTCTCCCACACCACAATGCCATCTTTCTCGAGGGGAGCATTCCCCTCTGTGTGGCATCGCCCTGGGGGAAAGCAATAGCCCCACCCTCTGGACTCCCTCTCATTCCATATTGTGGAGCTTACAGCCTGCTGAGGAGTACGGCCAGAGGTTCTCTCAGTGACTGAGCCTGGCAGGCAGCTAGCAGGTGGAGGTAGGCAGAGGCAGGTCTTGGGGTGCCTTAGGACTTTTGCTGACCTGCCCCTGGACCTGGTGCTGCTAAAAGCCAGCCTTGGTGTTTGGTGTGAAGGACAGCTTGGTCCTTCCTGTGCACACCCAGCAGAGGTAGCCACAAATTGTGGCTTTCTTGTGGCTCCAACAGGCAGCATCTTATATTGGCCTGCACCAGAGTCTCTCACAAGAGGCTCAGAATCAACACACTCAGTGGCCACCTTCAGAAAACAATCCCATTCACAATTGCTTTAAAAACAATAAAATATCTAGGAATAAATGTAACCAAAGATGTAAAAGACCTGTGCTCACAAGATTATACACTGTAAAAAAAATTGAAGAAGATACAAGTAAGTGGAAGAATATATAGTGTTCATGGATAGGAATAATTAATATCATAAAAAATGTCCATGCTAGCCAAAGCAATTTATAGATTCAATGCAATTCCTATCAAGATAGTATTTCACAGAACTAGAACAAACATTCCAAAAATGTATATGGAACCACAAAAGACCCAGAATAGCAACACTAATCATGAGACAGAAGAACAAACTTGAAGGAATTATGCTGCCTGATATCACACTATACTATGAAGCCATAGTAATCAAAACAGCATAAAAATAGACATGTAGCCGAAACCGGTTTGGCTCAGTGGATAGAGCGTCGGCCTGCGGACTGAAGGGTCCCAGGTTCGATTCCGGTCAAGGGCATGTACCTTGGTTGTGGGCATATCCCCAGTGGGAGATGTGCAGGAGGCAGCTGATCGATGTTTCTCTCTCATCGATGTTTCTAACTCTCTATCTCTCTCCCTTCCTCTCTGTAAAAAATCAATAAAATATATTTTTTAAAAAATAGACATGTAGGTCAATGGAGCAGAATAGAGAACCCAGAAAGAAACCCACCCTTTATAGTTGATTAATATTTGGCAAAGGAGGCAAAAACATACAATGGGGTGAAGCTAGTCTATTCTATAAATGGTGTTGGGAATATTGGACAGATACATGCAAAAAAAAAAAGAAACTAGACCACCTTTTTACACCATGCACAAGAATAAACTCAAAAGAAATTAAAGATTTAAATGTTAGAATCAAAACCATAAAAATCCTAAATGAAACATAGGCATTAATCTGTGCTTTTTTTTAGCAATATTTTAAAGATTTAAATGTTAGAATCAAAACCATAAAAATCCTAAATGAAACATAGGCATTAAAATCTGCCATTTTTCATAGCAATATTTTTCTTATATTTTTTAAAATTAATTTCAGAGAGGAAGGGAGAGGGAGAGATACCTGCTCTTCCACAAAATACTGACTTCTGCGTATGGGCCACGAAGTTTTAATCGCACTTTACGTGTGCACCCACATGTGGTATTTTGTGGAAGAGCCACACTCAAGGGGCCAAAGAGCTGCATGTGGCTCGCGAGCCGCGGTTTGCCGACCAAGGAGCTAGGGCCATACCAATTATCTTTAAAGAGTGGCAAGTACACTGAGAGCTGACATTTTTGGATGGGGGCTTGGGAGGGCAGGAAAATAATGTTGTCAATAGCTTAGAACCAGATACCTGTTAACTTAGAATTATATAACCAGAAAAAGTCTTTCAAGATTTGGGACAAAATAAAGACATGTCAGACCAAAAAGGCAAATGTTTGCAACTCTCCAATATACCGATAACCTATTTCAGACAAAAGGAATGTGACCCAAATAGAAGGTCTGAGATGCAAGAAAGAATGAAGAACAAGTAAGCAGGCTAGTATGTGGGTGATTCTAATAGACATCTGAAAAATAATGCCATATGTGGTTAAAAATAAGCCGGATAGAATTAAAATACACAGTAACAATAGCCTAAGGATTTCAGGGGAGGGTGACTACATGGAGTCGAAGTGCTCTAGACCTGTGTAGGGCCCAGGAAGGGGAAAGTGTTGATTGTCTTTAGACTTTGATAAGTCAGCTATGCATGATGTCATTCTAAGCAGATGATGGTGCCTGCCACATTCTGTCGGCACTTACCATGGCCACACGTGTCAATGTTTTCCTACAGCAAGCACCTGAGACTCCGCCTGAGGGACTTCTCTGGTTGCAGGAGTATATTCAGCCTCCATGTAGGGCAGGCCAGTAAGGCTAGGGAGTTAATGCAGCTAATGAAAGCTCAGTTCTGAGTAAATGTGCCAGCTTCCTTGCTTGTGGGATGGGAATGCTGAAACATGTTCTCCGTGCTCTCCCAGAGGTCCCAGCTGCCCATAGCAGTAACTGGTTCATCAATGTAGCCTGCAATGGCTTTTTTTCTTTCTGTCTCACTGTCTCATTCACTCATTTAGTGCTTCATGGGATCCAAAGTAAAATACCTACCAGCAATTTAGGCATCACAGAAATTATATAATCAAATTGCATTAACTTTGGAATTAGTAGAGGAGAGGAAACAGAGTGACCAAAAACATCAATTCAGAAGAAGGCAAAAACTGAGAGAAAAAGAAACACAGACTGGTCAGAGCAAATACAAAGTATAAATTAAGGAGGTCATTTATTAAAACAGACAAAAACATCAGTAAATATATGTAACAGCAGGATTGTTTAAAATATAGTTAGCATACAATATTATATTAGTTCAAGTGTACAACATTTATATTCCTTATGATGTGATCACCACAACAAGTCTAGTAACCACCTGTCACCATGCATAGTTATTATGATAATATGGTACTAGAGGCCCAATGCACGAAATTTGTGCAAGAGTAGGCCTTCCTTCCCCCAGCTGCCAGCACCAGCTTCCCTATGACATCCGGGACGCAGGATTCCCTCCGGCCACTGGCAGGTACCCAGGACCTGGGCTTCCCTCACAGCCCTGGCTTCATCCAGAAGGTCGTCCGGAAGGATGTCTGGAAAGACATCCAGTCTAATCAGCATATTATGCTTTTATTATTCTAGATTGACTATTTTCCTTGTGCTTTGAACAGCAGCTTTAATCAACTTACTTAATGGACATACATAAAATATTGCATCCAACACCTACACATTCATTTCAAAAATATAGAGGCCATTAATAATTACTATACTGCTCATAAAGCAGGCCTCAACATATTTCAAAGGAATAAAGTTATATAGAGTATATCCTCTGACCAATGCATTTAAGTTAAAAGTAAAAATTAAAAGATAACCAGAACAACCTTATTTGTTTGGAACTTAAGGAAAGTACTCATAAATAAAAGAAGAAATCATATTGAAAATTATAAACCTTTTTGAACTGAGTGATAATAAAAAATACTACATATAAAAATGTGAAATGAAGGCAGTATTTAAAGGGAACTCTATTTCTCAAATGTGTATACTACTAAAAAAGAAAGATTGAAAGTCTATGAGCTTATGAAGTTATGAAAGAACAGCAAAAAGACATATGTAGAAAGAAAAAATAATACAGAACAGAAATCCTATCTAATAAAAGAGAAACATGCAAATTGACCATAACCCCGACACCCTTCCTTTTGGCTAATCAGTAGGATATGCAAATTAACTGCTGACCAAGATGGCTGCCAGCCGCCAGGCAGCTGAAGCAAACAGGAAGCTTGCTTGTTCCAGTGACAGAGGAAGCCAAGGTTCCTCAGCAGCCCAGCTCTGAGTTCCAGATGCAACAAAGTTGCAATTATAGAACCTAAACAAGCTTCAGATAGCAGCTTTCAGCCAACAGTGGGCGCAGAGCTTAGAGCGGCAGTGATGGCACCACCCAGATTGTCCAGGCACCCCAGTGGGGACCCCCACCCTGAAGGGGGTGTGACCAGCTGCAAACAGCCATCATCCCCTCATCCAGGCTGGCCAGGCACCCAAGCAGGACCCCCACCCTGATCTGGGACACACTTCAGGGAAAACCAGCCGGCCCCCACCAGTGCACCAGGCCTCTATACTATACTGTGCACGGCGGGACAACGCGAGCTGCCATCCGGGCCCCATGTGCAGCCCTGGACAGCAGGGCATAAGCCCCGCCCCCAGCCAGGACCCCCGTGCTGCTTGAGCCCACACTGCTAA